GCGTAGTGATGATCATGATGTATAAGTCCAAGAATTGGGATTGTATTGACTTTTTCTCTGGTGTTTACAAGATTGGTGATACATGAACATTCCGACGAGAAAGAGTAGAACAAGAAGACTGCCTGTAGCATCGTATTTTAACTTGATGCTATCCCTGGTGAATGGCCACGGAGCCAGCGGACGCAGCGGACCGGGTGCCTAAGATTTCGTCTCTTCGGCAGCGTGAGCTGGCGTGTTCTCTGTAGAACAGAAATATAAATCGAGTAGTTAGAATGGTATTATTCATTTTCAAGAGGAGGTCATTTTGCGTACCGGGAACAACTGGGGCGTCCTCGTCCAAGTCCACCTCTTTCAAAAAGGCTTTGGCAAAATGAGGGTTTAGTCTCTCCGTAGGATCAGCACTGAAGTCATTGAGCTTCCTTTCGCCCTCGTGGGCACCCTTTGCAATGTGCTTCTTCAATGTTCCGCTGAGTTCGGCAGGGTCGACGCCCTTGTTGGCAAAGTGATGGCCGTGTCCTGGAGTGTCGATACCACCATCGTCGGTCCCTTGCTTTAATGCTTGAAGCTCAGCTAGATTACAAAGTAGTGGTCAGCTTGATATCGCCAATAGAAGCACTTCGAGTGAGCTGGCACTGGGCGTAATGGTCTCCACATGACAAATGCGGAGAAAGCTTCGATGGCCACTACTTCCAGGATCCACATGGGCCCAAATGGATAGTGATACTCACGATTGCGCTTGAGATGGGTAAGGGATGGGGTTTGGGCTCCTGAAGGAGCTCCTGATCCGAGATGTTCGGCGTGCAGATGTGATGGAAGAGCCATTTTGATACGGTGTTGCAATAGAGTTCAAGTGTTGGGCTTGGGGAGATGGGGGATATCAAGTTGAAGCGACGGCAACCGCGTTCCAAGTTTGTGCTTTTATACCCTCTCGGGAGGTTGACCTGAATGCGAGGCTGGAATCGAACGCATAACGTATTGTTCCTTCGGTACTCAATCAAGAAACGTGCTCAACAAGACGCGCATACGCAGACACCAAAATTGGACATTCTTTCACGGGCCGTTCAGTCGTGTTCAGCGTGATAACAGAGGTGTTTGCTAGATAATTTCGGAGATTATGTGTCGATGATGTCGATAGTGCGCGTCTTCCTGGCCAAGTGCGGAGACGGCGCGATACGGTGCGGACCAAGTTTGGTAGTTCTCATTGGCCGGATCCGTCTCAAGACTCACCAGAAACTTCACGTCGGCCGCTGTGCCCCTTTGAGAATGGAATTTTCGAGAAAATTACAAGGAATCTCCTAGCGACATCGAGTTTCTGTGATCAAGGTTACGGAACTGATCGAGGTGGGGGAAGGGTTACAGGGGGTTCAAATGATGGCGGGGACTTGGCAACCCTTGAATAGAGCACCCGAGATCACCACTCCAGTATTCTAGATATTCAGTCAGCTCGTTCATTTCCAAGTGCGGACAGACACGTCGACCAAATATGGATATAGGTCGAAAAGGAGCCTGACGCTCTGAGACATCTTGCTTTGGACTCATCGAATAGTCCGTGCAACATTCGAAAAGTCGTGTAGAAACATGGAAATTCTTAACTACAGAATGTCTTTTCTATCGATCATCATATGTTCTAACCGTATGTCTCGGACACACGCAATGCGGCTGAGAGTCTGATAAAGCTCAAGTAGAAGCAGAAATCCTGCATCTTCATCCCTAAAATAAAAATGAAAGGGATGAAATGTACATTAGAGTCGGTTTGAGGCCTCCATGGAGCTTCCTGGGGCTACTAATACAGTTACCACCCATCACCTAGCCATTCTCCAAATCTCATTCATAGAGGATAATACACTCAAGGACGACCTCTCCCAAGATGCCAAAGATGAGCCTGGGCAATTATCTATTTCCTGGCGGTTTTACATAATTTTATAAACTTGCACTGGGACATGTGCTTTCCGGTCGCATCGCTGAATGGAACTTTGATCCGAAATTCAAGAATAGTCGAAAAGTATGATTTCCTTCCAGCTCAAAGCATCATTTTATAGTAAGTTTGATAGAGATATGAAGGTTTAGTTGTGGAATCATGTAAACCACTATGTGCGACTTTGCTGGGATCTAGCGGTTTAGAGACTGACAAGCGATGATTCAATGATCTAAATTCACAGTGGTCCCAGTAGAGAACTAGAGAAACATCAAACCAGGATTTCTTTTGAAGAATTATGCGGTCGCTAAGGTAGATACATTCGATATTCGAGGACTTCCGAGTCTTGACTGGGGAGCGGGGAACATAAAGCATACTAGTGTTGAACCCATAACTTGAGAAACATATAGATGATGAGACATTGTGAATCGATTCGAATTCTCAGGCAATGACCCAGTGGCCAGATTTCCTTCGTCTCTGGACTCCTCTTGGGAAAGCACACCAGTGGTCAAAATCCCATTTATGGAGTATATATTCCAGCAATTCTTCCGATTCCTGACTCTTTGATTAGTATTTTGATAGTTTAAATGGCACTTAGACAATAGATACCTTGAGATTGTTGTTTTATAATCGAGAATTTTCTGTTTCTTAGTCAGGCTCTTATTAGATAATCAGTTGGCAGATGGTTTTAGCGTAGTATTAGTCATTATGTACATCTGCTAGACTATATAAGAGCGCAGAACTCGAGGATATACTCCTCACGAGTTTGCACCCTTTCCTTACCATCGAATTGAGGCCTAACAGCCTGTGCAAATTACTAAGCAACCGTTCTAAACAACAGAGATGAGTCAAAACTGTGGCACTATTGTGAGGCGAAACCGCACGTCTCCATAAGAGGAGTTCCTCGACCACGGACCTACATTCGTTTGGTATACGGTTCATGATGGACACAAATCGATCTTGATGTAGTCCTCCTGTGATAATTTCTAATTAATGGGATCATAATGGGTACATAAACTACTCACTAAAGTGACGAGGAATGTCTGTTCTCAACAGAGGCATAAGTGGCGGACTGCTCAGGAGGTAAAACTTGAATAGTTCAATTAGTATTGAAGGTGATTCGGGTAAGAGTCGATAAATTCACTGACAGATATCACTTCTAGGGCCTCGAGATCGGAGAGTGCACTAAAAGTGGCCTCAAAATCAACATCGGGTTGTAACCTCCGTTCCATCTCCAGTGCTTGCTGTCGATTAGGAGCACGATAGCCCTGTAAACCATATTTTTTTCACCATAATCAACTTTCAAACACACTCTCGTCTATCCTGAGAGAACTTGCCCTTAATACCTACAAGCATCCTTTAGAGTTAGATGGTGCCCAATCATATTGGAAGGGTATCAATGGACCCACGTTCTGTAGAAGTGTTTTAGTGCAAATAAAAGTTCATCTTTCGGTCTAGAAGTTTTAGGGGATATGCCTACGTACCTTCTGTATACCAATTGGCGTGAATCAGCAATATGTCGGAAATAAAATGCTATAATTACAAGCTTATTTGACGTGCATAATTGAGCATGAGTATAAGAGGTTATGGCTCTTGACACTGATGTACTTTCTATATGTGTCGGTGATCCACGACCGTTTCGTTAGTTTGGTCCTAAAATTCAGTCGTATTACATACCCACTGAACAAAATCACATAGATGAGGTATGTTTAGCCTTATTTCTTATCAATTCCAGCGTATACGCACATCCTGCAAGTGAGATTAGTTCCCGAATCCGAGGTATCACTGGAAAGATATTAGCTAGAACTTACATTCTGCAAAGAAATCAACGACAGGGGAGATTTATTATGCATTCATTCTTGATTAGACTTAAAATATACTCACCTCCTATATGTATCAGACAGAATAAGTCAGAATAGAACCATAATCCATTGGTAAGAATATGCTTACCTCCTACAATAATGAATAAAGAATCTAATGCTTAATACCGTGTATTCTGGATACATGTGAAAGCCGTACCTCCTAATATACCAAGAGGAATATCGTATGAGAAAGCAATTGACAGGAAGGAAGTTGACCAAGTGAGCTAACACACCTCCTGTTATAAGGGACCGATAGAGAAGAACTATTTATGTGATCATTGTATAGATTTTAAATTAGACTTACCAACTATGTTGTTTGTACAGCCGGAACTCAATTAGCTAATGAGCGAGGAGCTAGCAGTTGATACACTTACCTCCTATGGGCGTTGAAAGGATATAATTTGTTGAGAGAATATTCTTTGAGAATCTTATGATATACTTGCCTCCTATCGTTGAGAGAGGAGATGTGTGTCTATAGTGAGCGAGGACTCGGATCCTACGGAGGATGTACCCACTTCCTATAGCATAACGATCGCCCAAGATGAGGAATGCTATGCATGAAATTACTAATGCACTTACTAACTAAAATGAATGCCGTCAAGAGCAGTGACCCTTTTTCAGAACAGCAGGGTGGATCAATGAGGGTACGTACAATCTAAAGGCATCATTCGTCACGATTAACAATTTGAGATACTAGAATGGAATATACTTACAGCCTAATATCAAACAGAGTTTAGCTCATGGAGTTTCTTTTGGTATTATCGACGCCACATACCTCCTATAAGATGCGGTTCGTAGTTTCGAGAAAGATTCAGAAAAAGGCAGCCATTCAAGGATTCCACGTACTTCCTAGAGGGAAATTCCGGTTAGAAGAGCAAGAAAATAATTAAAATCGAGTACATACCAACTGGAGGGAAGTCGTAAGCATCGTCAGGAGTGGGTCAGTTATTTGCTGGTTCAATCAATGAAGCGTGTATACGTACTTTCTATACAGTGATTTCGGAGGCGATTAAGGCGGTAAACTTAAACTACGGCGGATATGGGACTCACAAACTTTGAGCCCAACCATTTAGCGATGAGATCTTCATTAGATGGTAATGATGTTAAAATAGAAGCCACCATACCTTCTGTGAGTTTAGTTGCCGCCATTAAAGGATTGAGGGATCAGTATCATTCTAGAGCACCCAAGTTTGATGGATGTACCTCCTAGTGTCATAGTTAGTACAATTACACGACTAAACCTTTCCATGATTATATTTACCAGCTAATCGGTATTGATTTGCATGACAATTGCTGATTAGTAGGATGTCCATCTAGCACTAGGCTAACACACGGACCAACTGTTTCAATGAATGGCAGGTCAAAGAAGAGATATCAAATATCTTTGAGACATGATCTCACCTCCTATCATTAAGGATGAATGGGAAGTGAATGATCAGTCAGTATACAGTCAGAGATTTACGATAACAAGCGTACCTCCTATCGATAGGGGCCAAGGGAGTCAGACATATATAGTTCCCTGATTGTGTACCGAAGCAAACACATACTTTCTAGAAGAGTCGAAGATAGTGTGAATGAAGCTATGAACAAGAGTGCTTGATAAAGTGGAGACGTACGCTCTATAAAAGATGAACCGAGTACAAGCAGTCAGTACGATGATAAAGAGATGCATTGATGATACGGACCTTCTATTAGTCCCGTTTGGTGATTGTTCGAGTATCTTGTCAGGGCGACTCGTATATCGCATTTAGTACACTTACGTACTAGGGTGCCCAATGTCAGTACATATGTTTGTGAGACAATATAAACAATGAGATTGATAATTGTGCACTTATATACGCACAATAATACGTTCCGTGATATGTTGAAGGCTCCGCATGAACGGAATTTCGGTCAACTCAAGACCATAGACTACCACTGGGCTCCATTTCCGCGTCACGAAGTTAAAATACTTTGCTGGGCGCATATAATGGTGGCCAGACTCTATTATGCGCATTTCGTGCTTTATAGCCGCATTTTTACTTGGGCAAAAATGGGCTAGTGCTTCCTTGGTAGAGGAGATACGCTGCGCCATGCCATATGCCAGCTGACTGCAGGGGTACCAGAATGGGCATCCATAAGATTTAAATTAATCCTTATATCGGGAAAACTACTCACCAATACTGATTTTCGAAGCA